TCTATCTATCTATCTATCTATCTATCTATCTATCTATCTATCTATCTGTCATGCATAAGACGTGAGAAGTTCGTCTGACCAGATCAAACTAGGATTGTTCTGATTGTGCTGTGTGCACTTTCTCTGTTGAGCCATCAGGTGTCCTGGTGACACCGTCTGTTTAATGACTGGATAGTAGTGGTTTTTGGCCAAAAAGCTTGATTTTGAATTTGAGGTAAGCACCTAAGTGGGCATGCGTGGAATGATACCAACGTTATCCCTAATGTGTGTATGGAGAATGACCAATGAACTGCAAAGACAAAGGGATATTGCCGAAATGCTGTCGGAATTGCACCTTTTCTAAAAGATAAATGAGTTTGTAACAGTTATTATGCGCAACAAGCTAATACGACGTGTAGTCAAAGAATCAATGTGTGTGATGTAATTTCCTCTACCCCTAAAGCTGCACCAAATTGCACCAAATGGAAAAAAGAAAAACATCACATGACGCTGCTCTAAAACCAGCATCTGTTTTTTTTCTTCCTGGGCTGCAGTAGAGATATGTTGGTGTGAACAAAGATGCCTATCTCATGTATTTCTGTATGTAAAGGGATCATTCAGTAAAGATGAAAACGTGTTGTGTTTTAGGGATGTGTACACTAATGAAAAGATGATTATGAAGTCATTAAAATGAAGCTTTTTGTTTGTCTGATCTTTTCATCCATTTGTGTTTATTTCAGGTTATGAAGTGAACGTGTGCAATCCGATTATCCAATGATCGAGCCCTGCACTCCCACCATGTTGGACAGAACTGAACCATTACACTGCACGGTATGCTGCTGCACTCTGGTCAACAAAATCCTCATGGTGCTCTTCATGGTGCTGCTGATATTCGCCATCCTGTTTGGGAATCTGGTGACTCTGGCCGTGGTGCTTGGCACCAAACACTTCCACACTCCGCAGGGCTACCTGAAGGCGTCCCTAGCCGTGGCCGACCTGGCCGTGGGGATATTTGTGGTGCCGCTGTCGGTCTATGCCGAGGTCTATCTCATGGTGGCTGAATCCGCACCGGAGTGGACTTCATACAACTCCCAGTCGGTGGGTTTCCACCCGTGCAACATCATCGGCCCCATCTTTGCTGGGTGCACCTTTGTCTCCATCACGACCATCTTCCTGTTGACGGTCGAGCGGAGCATCGCCGTGCTGAGGCCGCTGCACAAGGACTCCGTCATCACTCGCAAAAGGACCACGATCCTCATCGTCCTCTCCTGGGTGGGGAGTTTCTCCCTGGCTGTTTCTCCGATGATCTTCAGCAGTGAAATCGCCCTGGAGTATAACTCCTGCAGCAGGATGTGCAACTACGCCTTGGGGTCCATCGGTGAGTTCCCCAGCCAGGCCTGGAACATCCTCCTCCTCTTCCCCGCTTTTGACTTCACCCTCCTGGGCGGCACGGTGGTCATTAACATCATCTCTCTGTCCAGCATCCGCCAGCATTCAAAGCGCAGAAAAACTCTGGCAGAGACTGACTACCACAGCACCAGCAAGCCCTCGTTCTCGGACATCAAAGCGGCCAAGACCATCGGAACGCTCACGGTGGCCTTCACCGCCTCGTTCACCCCCATCGCCGTCTTCGTGGTCGGTAACGTTTTGGGAAACGAGTGGTGCAACTTTTCCTTTTTTGCTTTCTGGATTTTGGCCACCACCAGTTGCTGGAATGTTATTATTTACAGTGTGAGGGATCAGAAGTTTAGGCTGTGTGCACACAAACTTTTGATGCCTTCCCACAGACAAAGCATCACCAAAACCTAGATGAAGCACAACAAGACTAAAGATTTATGAACAGCCTGAGCGGACTGGATGTTCCGATGTCTGTCTGTCCCCCGAGTCTTTTTCCCATCACATTGTGAGCCTCATGAAAAGATGTACTGTAGTTGCATGTCTTGTGGTTTTTTGCTGTAAAACTACAGTTGTTTCTTTTTTTAATCGCATTGATATAAAGCATGGAGTGTTTTGGGATCTTTTTGGATATAAATATTTATTTGTGGGCTTTTGTGTTGATCTATATGATGTTGAATTGCTGAGGCCTGTCTGTGTGCAATTGATTAAAACAGATCGAAACATCATGAGTTTTCTGTTTCCTACAAAATAGAAAAATAAGGTTCGATGGCACTGCATGTTTCCTCATTAAGTTGTACAAAGCTATGGATGTTATTTTTAATGTGCTATGTTCCGAAGTCAGCATAAGGTTTAATACATTGCTACACATTTTTGGTTAATCTCTTATTTGAAAATGACATTTTACGCTTCACATCACAGGGGGTGCACATTCAATATGTTTTTTTTAAGAAAACATGAGAGGTAACATAGGCTACTTTCCATTTTATTCTGTGCAACTAACTTGTTATCTGAGGTGAATGTATTTTTTCATTTTTTCATACCCACTTAATCCCTTCTGAATAAAACCAAATTAAAGTGGGAAAAAGACATACGATCTTTTAGCTTTCCTTGAGGTTGCCCAGGTTGAAAAAATACAGAATGACATTTGGAGAGTAGTTCAAACCAGCTGCCGACTTTCATCCATTCATTTACAATCCAGTAGCTTTGCTCTTGATCTCTCTAGTGCCATTTCCAGCTGCATTGTATTTGATGTCAGAGATGGAGATCTATTAGCTGCTTTCGTTTTTCTGGTGTTCTTCGTCTTCAATGGGGATTTCTTAGAATTGGATAAATAGTTCATTCAACTTGATAAATACATCACACTTTATTAGATATGGGATAACTGACAACAAAGTCGTATACATTTCGAGGAATGGGATGAATGTGAAAATCTGAGCCAATTTCCAGACTTGGAATTCTGATGCTGGTGCTGTTCTCTTTGATTTGGTGCCATTGAAACTTCACAATTTGCATCCAGATTGGTTTTATCAATATTCTTCAGGATGACACGAGAAAAAAAAAACAAGCTATTGTTGTAAATTAAATCTTAATTTCGGAATTTCATTGTGTCACAGTTCTTCCACTTTGGCATTACAAGGTGTGAATACAGTCAAATGTGCTGATTAATGTAAACAGAGATGAGATGACCTCTGTGCCATATCCGCTAAAAACCCTTGTTCAGTATGCCGGTGGAGGGGCACACATTTCAATTAACCCTGTTGTTATTCATGCAGCATTTGCCGAATCACACCTAAGCGATTAAGCCTCAAAGCTCCACAGGATAGGAGGATTTATTTAATTATTTCACTGCAAACATAATTGCTGAAATTGAGACGGAAAAAAAAAGTGCTCATCGGTGCTTGACCATAATCGCAGAGAGGCTGAATCTCTCAGTTGTAAAGAAGAAAGGGGTTTATCTGGACACGAGGGTCAGTGCTTCAAACTAATTCTAAATGTTTGATCTTTGTGACCACTCTTGACTCTGCGAGGATATCGCTTCATGTCCTCAGGAGCACTTGAGAAGTGATTGACAGGGATGGGAAACTGTTTCTGCATTCAGAGCTCGGTGTGATTAATCACTGTTGTGATCCCCAATGAGAAGGGAGACAGTCCATTATTTCCGTATTAATGAACTGTCTAAAAACCGCGTCTAATTATTGTTTTTTGCTTGTGAGATACCACATTCATACGCAGCATCTATATAAGGAGCAGGACACTGCTTTTTTTCAAACAACAATCTTCCATTCTTTGCATAAATTCCCCCTACGAGCACTCACTAAGCATCCAAGCTTCGGCCAAGTGTTTTTCCCTCTGAGAAAATACAAAATTCACACTTTGCAGAAATCAGACACATTCCCCAGTGGTGAGCAGCGTTGCGAGCATTTAAATTTCTGTTTGGGTCAGAGGAATTCATTCTCTTTTGAATGGATGGTCGCTGTTGGTTAAATTGACAAAAATGCTGCACAGGTGGCCATCTGCATCCAAAGCGGATGCAGATAAAATTATGCGAACGGTTCAGTGAATTGTAGAGGTTGACTCTCGCAATTTTTTTCAGAAATGATTAAACTGTTTCCTCTTTCAATTTGTTGTTGGGTCAGAACTTGTTGACATGTTAATGTGGAATGAAAAATGAAATGCATAAAAGTTGATGCATTGAAAAAAAAAAACTATCCACTATCTACCTTGTTTTGGCTTCTGAGTCTCTTGAGATTTCTGGCTTTAAACTGTGCAGTCTTCAAGGGATTGAAGTCAGACTGCTCTCCATGTACTTCTATCACACAAACTGAACAGAGAATCATAGTAAAAACTCAAATTTTCTTGAGTCATGGATGCCGCTAAGTCACAGTCTGCAAGAATGAAAGGAGCACAGTCGGAATCAGCACAAAGGAGATGCGTGGAAAAGGAGTAGCTGCCACTCACTGATGGTAAGGCTCTCTGATTGAAACTGAAATGTTTCTTGCAGAAAATGAAATAGGGGACAGTTGAAAGGAAAGCTGGTCAAGGCAGATGGTGGAAGAAGAACCAGGACTGGTGAGTCCAGCAGAGGATTCACTGTTGGCCCGTTTTCACTGAAAGCAGCCCTGTTGCCAAAAGTAGAATTCATGAACCAACAGAGAATCATTTCTGTTTTGATTCATGGATTTATTCGCGCACTGATCGAACAGACGCATCCTCTGTGATGTTTCCTGTACAGAAAACCTAGAGCTGAAAACAGTGTTAATCTAAGTCTATATAGAGTGTAATGAAACAAAACAACAAAAAAACATTTAAAGAGTACTACAGCGGTAGATAACTAAAGGTTATTAATCGATAACTGATCTAACCAATAACTGGATATAATGAGTATGAGCATATGATGAAGTCAGAAACACATTTTTACACATTTCCTGATGCGAAAGGCAGCTGGCAGAGACATCTGATGAGATTCCTTAAGATTTAGAAAAAAGATGGACAAGATAAATTTTGAAAGTCAGTTGGGAAGGGGAGCTTGTAAATAGATCATATCTTTTTAACAAACTGGAATCAGACCGATCGGTTTAAGTAGACCACTGGAACTGAGTTATGATGACAGATGAAGTGAGTTTGATAAGAAAACATACGGGCTAAGACGTATCAGCACAAGCAGCAAAAACATCAAACGTTACAGGCAGATCTGAGGGAGAGCATGTTACTCATCAAACTTTCCTAAATTTAATTTAGAATGATTTTGAGCTTTGAGATACATTTTGAACATTTTAACACTAAATGTTACGGTGTATGATTACAAAATTGGGCATGAAACCAGCCTAAAGGAGGCACATTTGATAAAAATATGAGACAGCTTTTGATCTATTTGTCGTCAGTCTAGAGGGGAGGGAACAGAGCAAACAAAAAAAAGACCCTCAATGATGCCAATGACCAAAATACCTTGAATGTCAATGACTGCTGGAAAAGAAAAAAACTGCATTGCATTTGATCTTGTTAAGTCTGATTAATAGATTATATGCAAATGACGAGAAACTTTAACCTTTTATCCTCATATCTTATAGTCATTAGCATAAATATTAGTAAAGATGAAGAATTAATGAATTGATGTAATAACTGAGCAGGAGCTGACCCTGCAAAGCTGCACTGATGGGCAAGGACTTTAGAGAGGACAATAAGATGAGCTGAACAAGAAGGCTGGAAAAAGATGTCAGTGATATTCACATTGTTTTGCCGTGTCGAGACTTTCTGTCAGACTCCTCCTGTGAGTCATAAAGCAGCAGAGAGGAGGATCTCTTTCAGTTCCCACAGGAGATTCAAACTCCCCAAACTTGCAGGTGGTTGATGGAATAGATGAGTGAGTGTGCGAGACAAATAAAATATCCTCTTCTTTTACCCTTTTCAGCGTCTTCTTATTGTCCTTTCTGACATCTTTCAGTTGATGTGGGTTAGTGTAATGGATACCTGCGTGATATGATAACAAAAAACTGAAGCATTTGAGTGATTCATTGTAAAAAAAGAGGCAAATCTTTCCATTTGGTGTGGGGGTTACTTACAACATGTAGGATGTCAGTTGATTGTGAACAAGAACAGAAAGAAGCGTCAACTCGGACATTAAGATGAGTGAAGACTGGAAAAAAACAACCGCTGACATTATGAATCCTGCTCTGTTGTGACATGAAGAAGGGGGGGTAAAAAACAGAGCCACCCTTGCATGTAAACATTATGGAGTGCCACTGGTGGAGGACTTATGCTGACTACACGACTACTACAACCTGACTGTCTTACAGACACTCTGCAAAGGGGGTCTGTCTCTCTGTTTTTTTCAATTTTAAGACTCCTGCATTTAGTGAGAGAATAAAATGTCCTCTTGTCCAGCCTTGCTGAAGATGTCTGCTGGTCACAAAGTGTTTTGGGATGTCTGTGTATCCCTGTGGAATCTGTGTTTAAATAATAGAAAATCTACACAATGAACTAATGAAAACATCCAAACTTTGGTAGTAAACCTATTCTGCCCTGTCAATCCTTTGCCCGAGTTTGTGTTCAACATTTTTACTTTTTCTTTACTTGAAATTTTAGGTCCGCAGCCACTCCCAGCAGACAAAGCTGCTTTATTCCTACGCATGTCTGTCTTTGTGCTGCAGCAAAGACAACAGTGTGACTCACTGATGAAACTGAGCAGATTTGTGATGTCTCCTCTCACTATATGCGGTATGTGTCAAATATAATACCCTTTAGAATGTTTTATTAGAACAATTCCACGGGTTCACCTCCACAGACACAGAGAAGGTAATACAAAGCTACTTTGTTGAGACGTCCTGCTGTCTTTGGTAAACGCTCAGCCTTTGTGCTGCGGATCAGAGCTTTCATTGGCCTGTTTGTCATTTCTAAGAATTAGAACATGCCGG